TGTATATCAATTACATCATTCACACGGCAATATATTTTATCTATATATGTATATGATAATGATTACTAATACTACTGGAACTATGAGTAAAATGTACTGATACCTAACATATTACGTTAATACAGAGAAGGTCTCTGGTTATGATATAAAGGAAACCAAAACAAAATACCTTTAGTTTATATATTATTCTCATTGTCATGGTTGACCTGAAGCGGAAACGTATATACTACTTACGGCTTTATGTACTGAGTACAAATGACTCCCTAATTCTGATTTTGAAAATCTTATTTAGAAGATGCTATTACTTCAGAAAGAATGCCTGTTTTGTATTAAATAGAAGTTAGATGACCAGTGAGTGAAATCGTTTTTTCTTCTTCTCTCCTTAGAAGACATTTTTGCTTACAAAAATATTAAACGTTTCCACGAGCTCATGTAGTAAGAAGTCCACCAAGAAATGACACTAAAACGTGAAGCCATATCATCACTTAAGTCTATTACAGATCAAGAACACAGTAAAAATGACTCTTGCAATATGGTACCCTTAGATGTGAAAAAAAAAAATTCACTGAATAAATCAAAGAAAGCTGCTGCCTGCTGGCAACGAATATTTTGTTGTGTTAACAAAAATGAGACACCACGCAAATAAGCTATGTCTGTAGCGAGAAGAACTGGATACCTGAGGTGTCTGACACCCCGGCTGTACCGGTCATCTGCTGCATATTCTATCTATAGTTTATATGGCAATGTTATGTAATGGAGAAAGACTAAAATTGTCCATTCTGTGAGAGAATGGGCTGATGTGATAGTTCACTGAACATAGAGAAACAAGTGAACGTTATTGCCAAATCTGTTACTTCTAGATCAGTAACATCGGCTGTTTCAGACAGTTCATAACTGCAAATGCATGCGTTCAGAACTCATTTGGACTATGGTCAAATCCCTGCTTTGTGATACATCTGGCGAACTAACTAGTCGTCTTCAGACGGTCCAGATTACTTCAGCAGGTCTGGTTACTGGTACTCGGAAAAGGAGCACATCACACCTGTACTATATCCATTGCACTGGTTGCCTGTACAGCCGTCACGATCACCGCGGTCGGAGACAGAATCCCCTCGTTGTGTCCCTATAATATCTGAAACTGTGACCTTAGGAAACCGGTGCTTTGGTAGAGTTTCGGCCACATTGTGTAATGACTTATCATCTACTCCCAGGAAGTCAGCAAATCTGACTCAATTCAAGAAGGATATACAGAGCACCTTTTTTACATCTGCATGTTAGGCCCTGTTGCGCAGACATCATGTACACACCACCTTAAATATCCATCATATATATGCATATGGCAAAAACAATCTTTTTACCTAATGTAAAATGGCGATTGGTATGCCTTTTTTACCTACCATATTTATAACTGTCACTGTAGGTTTACAACGACGCTACACATATTATCATTATTCTTATTAAGTTAAATATTAATAGAATAGTGTAATTTCGATGCTCACGACTTCATGCATAAGCCGAGAGAGAAAAAAACATACATTTTAAATTCTATACATACATGACATAGGCAGACACTAATCCGACCAATACCAGAATCCATTGGAGCCAGGTCGGAATGTCCACCAATCCCAGTACCTCCATTGTACCCCACTTGGTAGTTTGTATCTTAACACTCAAGGCTGTAAAATTACAGAAAAGCCAGAGTCAGTTAAAACAACTACAGGTTAATCTCCTTTTTACTGACTCCTGACTCGTCATTTACAGGTAGGTAGATATGTATAAAACCAGTATTTGTTTTCCTGCTTGTCTTGTTTATCACTATATACATAGATTAGGTAATCGTGCTGCGTTTCAAAGTCGAGGCTTTGCTATGCGTCAGTTCCAAAGGTCTATGTATAGTCAATATTTGTTTTAAAAACTACGTCTAAAGCAGATAGGACTGTGGAATATGTGTGAATTTGTCTTTTCATATTGTTATTTCATATTGTCTTCTTTTTAATTAACTTAAGTCGGTAGTGGACACAAAATACTTGGTCGGGTCGGGCAGGTAACATTTCAACTTTGCACGTCTGATCAGGGAAGAAAATTCAAAAAGTTATCTCCTTGGATAACATTGACCGACATTCGATATGTCACCTTGTAACTGTCAAGTCGCGATGCCTACTTTACAATATTGAACTTTTGTCTGATACTGGCACAAGATTTCAACATTTATACGAATAGTGGTCAGACTGATTTGGTATTTAAAATAACAATAAACATTACACACATTACATCAACTAATACCTGTATAAATACCGGACTTGTGTAAGTCTGGCGGTGTTGTTTGATTTAAAATGTGAATGCTATTTATAAGTTACGCCTTCATCTGGGCTCAAGGTACATTTATGAAGATGCTAGAGTCCAGATTATGTTGAAAGTTTTTTCCTGGAATGTCATCAATCCTGGTTTATATAATACCTTACCGTATATGGCACCCGAAAAACGAGAAAACAGCAGATTCCAGCGTTGTCTGAATAATTGCAGAACGACCACTTCCTGTTTTTAATCACATCTATAACACGGACTGCGGATCGACAGAGTATAAACAGAGCAAAATGTAAATTTATCTTGACTTTCCAGGACATAAATATAATAGTGCATGTGTGTGTTCTTTATATTACTTGTCAGGTTGTTAGGACTCTCGTCCTGCATGATTTATCCTGAATTGTCTCGTCAGGACTCTTGTCCTGCATGATTTATCCTGAATTGTCTCGCCAGGACTCTTGTCCTGCATGATTTATCCTGAATTGTCTCGCCAGGACTCTTGTCCTGCATGATTTATCATGAATTGACTTGTCAGGACTCTGGTCTTGCATGATTTATCATGAATTGACTTGTCAGGACTCTGGTCCTGCATGATTTATCATGAATTAACCCGTCAGGACTCTGGTCTTGCATGATTTATCACGAATTGACTTGTCAGAACTCTGGTCCTGCATGATTTATCATGAATTGACTTGTCAGGACTCTGGCCCTGCATGATTTATCATGAATTGACTCGTCAGGACTCTGGTCCTGCATGATTTATCCTTAATTGACTTGTCAGGACTATGGTCCTGCATGG